GTTTGAGTAAATACCCAATCATCTTGAAAATATACGTTATTGATAGGAACTAGCATGACAATATTGGGACAAAACTGGGAGAGAAAAATACAATTACTCTTGCTTGGGTCCTGGACAAAAAAGGTCAGAAATGGTAGAGGCAACAAAAACATTTGCCGTTGCGCGAATTTTGCCTAAAGTAAAAAATTAATATATATTCTGGGCCGGACTTAAATATTACTGAGGCCTTTTCTATGGGGCCTCAGTATTGCAATCGTCCAGATGAAAAAAAATTTTTTCCCTTATTTTTTAAAACTTTTTTCATGTTTCCGATCATTCAGAGTCAGAAAATACAAAAAAAAATTCGTCTGGTCGTCTGTGTGTATGTATGCCGGCACGATAACTCTAGAACGAAAGTTCTGATTGACGTGCGGTTTTGATTTTCTTAAATAATTACTTCTAACTTAGAACCCTTATTGATTTTTATAATTTTTGGTCCATCCTAACTTCTTTAATATTAATTTTCTTAAAATTCACTCATGCGTTTCCTATGTGACAATTTTAGGAATTTCAATCATTATTTCTAACATCAATATTCTTAACATTCCATAAATAATTGCAAACATTCTCTAACGATCTTTCAAACAACAGCTGTTGATAGTAAAGGTAAAATATAAATTTATGCAACAAATCCGATTCTGATATACAACATAGAGAGAGAGAGATACAGCACTTGCCACTGTAGCTTAAGTATCAAGCTATCATAGCTATTGTTCCTTACGAACCAAAATAGCAGAAAATAAATTGTTATACAGGGTGTCCCAAATAAGAGTGATCGATTTTAAATGTAAATGCACAGAATGGCTCTAAAGAGATGGGGTTTTCACTAATTGCTTTCGTTTATCCAAAAGTTTTTTTTTTCAAATTTGTTCACATTTTATCACATCAATACAGGGTGATCCACTAATGTTGGTCAACTTGAATGGAAAAAATATGTATTATTTTAATTGGAACACCCTGTATATTTTGATGCCATTTAAAAGAGAGATTCATCTACTTTTTTATAATGTATAGTTTGATATCTTTTGTTTTCTTAACAACACAGATTTTTGAGTTTTTAAGTAACACTGCTGTTTTCTTTATTTAAAAACTGTCATTAAATAAAATTAACAAAAAGAATTTATTCAGCAACAAAACATAGCAAAAATTTATTAAAAATTAGAAAACAAACATTTATAATGAGGATGTAAAAGTTACAATAAATGCTGTATGTGTCTACCCTCTTGTTACTTAAAAACTCGAAAATCTGTGTTGTTAAGAAAACAAAAGATATTAAACTATACAGTTTTAAAAAGTAGATGAATCTCTCTTTTGAATGCCATCAAAATATACAGGGTGTTCCATTTAAAATATTACATATGTTTTCCATTCAAGTTGACCAACATTAATGGATCACATTGATGTGATAAAATGTGAACAAACTTAAAAAAAAACTTTTGGATAAACGAAATCAATTAGTAAAAACCCGATCTTTTTAGAGCAATTAATTAGCTGTGCATTTACATTTAAAATCGATCACTCTTATTTGGGACACCCTGTATTTGTAGAGCAAAAAAATATGCCGAAAATCCGATTCTGATATATCTTATAGAAACAAATACAGCACTGGCCATTGTAGCTCTAGTATCAAGCTAGCATGGCCAATGTTTCTCGGTATCGGCAGGAGCAAAAAATTAAAAATTGGGTAAAAAAATAGCAAAAATTTGCCAAAAAATAAAATATAAGTCGTTCTGCGGGCTTATGACTGCCATGCTAGCTTTATAGAGATTAAAATTTTCGTTGGACTTAGATGCCACACCCTTACTCTCTTTATTGCATAAAGGACTTTTCTGTCCAGATACAAGGATGATGAATATTGGTGATTTTTTTTGCGAAGTATTTTAATTTCATTGTGTTAAAAAGAGATGGAACATGTACTCTATTATTTGCAGAAAATATGCTGCGGTTGATGCAGGTGTTATCTTATGCACAGAGCTGTTCAGAGAATGTCGTATTTTGTTTTTTACTTCTGTTCCCAAATGGATTTATCATCTCAGAAATTCAGACCAATAAATAAACAACAAACAAGCTATTATGCCAAGGAATTTTATTTTTAAACATAGCATAAAAGTAATCTAATATTTGATGGATTATTTTGATATTTGTATACATACATGCGTCTTCTATTCAGAAATAATTTAATACCACAGGAAATTTTCAAACGACGATCGGTGGTACGTTCAATGTGAACAAATCAGGAGTATGCAGAATCGTAGAATCGTAAGAATGGTATCAAAAGAGATTGCTCGGGTAAAGCCTCAGTTCATTTTATTCCCACATAATGGAAAGGAAATAAAGAGAGCTGCTACAAATTTTTCGAAATTTCAGACTTTTCAGGGTAATAGGTGCAGCAGATGCATCCATAAAAGAATTGAATCTCAGGAATCGCAAAATGCAGAGATACTTAGGAATAGAAAAGGATTATTTTCACCAATACATAAGCTTTATTAGAATAGTATATGCGGTTGGAATGAAAATTCGATAAGAGTGAAAGATTCTTAACCACGAGTATCAAATATTCATCACAACATAGTAACAGGCTATACTTTTTCTACGGTTACAGCACAAAATGAAATATTTAGTCTAATTCATTTTAGACAAGCTTTTATATAAATTATTCGCATAATAACTTAATCGTCTGAGTGCGATGTAGACAATCCATTCGAGTTGTACAGTATATTTTTTCTACGACATACTAACGAACATTTACAAATTAAAAAATATATATATATATATATTTTAGGTTATTAAGACAAAATGACTAATTTTAGAATAATTTATTACCTACTTTTAATAATTTTTAAAATAAATCTAACGAAAAAACAAAAAGAAAATAGTTTCCCCATCCAAGAATCGAACTTCAGTCTTTATTGTAAAAGGTAAGAACGCTCACCACACGACCACCTAGTCTTTTAATTTTGTTGCTTTAATACTCGTAATTAAATTGACTTCATATAGTTTTATTTAAATAACAAATTATTTATAATTATAGACGAAATAAAAACAGAAATGCTATTATTTATTGATTCTACACAAGAATAACCCATTCTAATGTATATACAATCTCAATAACTAAAAAAATGTACTGACAATAAGTTTGAAAGAATTGTCAGTTATTTAAAATTTTAAAAATTATAGCTGTCGGTTGATCAAAATATGAACGATGATTCGTGGATATAATTTTTTTACAGTGTTCTAGAATGGATATGAAATATATTCGTTCAGTTAAAGGCAATAGCATACTTTTTCGTTTAGTAATATGTGCGTAGATAAGCTAATATCCATGTGGGTGTAGAAAAAAATCATTTTCAAGAAACTGCTTATATGTTTTTCATAAATTGCCAGGCTTAGCGACTAATTTAGAATAAAATAGCCTCCAAAATGGCTATGGTTTCAAGTGTGAGAGTCGCAAACCGCCTTAGAAATCTCACCTTTACAATCAAGAGCTGTTGTTTGACAAGTTGTTGGAGAATGTTTGCAATGTATGGAATGTTAAGAATATTATACGTTAGGAATGATTGGAATTTGTAAAATTAGTCCCATAAGATATGCATAGGCGGATTTTAAGAAAATTGATATTAAAGTAGTTAGGATTAAATTCTGAAAATCAATAGGGTTCTAAGTTAAAAGTAAATATTTAAGAAAATCAAAACCGCAAGTTAATCAGAACTTTAGTTCTAGACTTATTGGGCTATACATACACACAGACGACCAGACGAAACATTTTCGGAAACATGAAAAAAAAGTTTTAAAAAATGGAAATAAAAAAAATGTTTTCGTTTGCACGAATGCAATACTGAGGCCCCATAGAAAAGGCCTCAGTAGCAAGTTAAATGGCAACCAGTTTCGACCTCAGGCAATCATCTGGTTTGAATAATGTAATAACAATTAAATTATTATAATATTTGTTTCAAACCTTTTTCCAATGTTTTTAATAATTTTCTAATTGTTTTATCATTTTTCAATTTAATTGATAAGTACATTTTTCCACATAGTATTTCTTGAAACTACCTTGGCCTAACTGGTGTTCCATTTTAACTACTTTAACTACATTAATTATTAATTTCTTTTAATTTTGCATTCGCTCATCACTTATCACTTATTATTTAGCCCTGATAATGGTGTAAGGCCGAAACAGGTTGTTTGTATTTAACTTGTTGATAAAATATTTTAATGCAGGATTGAAAACACAAACGAGCGTTGTTTTGAAGTTTCAAAAGAGTTTTACATGCCTTCTCTTTTACTAGCAATTCTAGCTTATTGTGTAATACACAATATTGCTTTAAATTTACGAGATGATGATGTCGTCGTTCTTGTTTAGTAATGGCACATATTTGTCAGGAACAAATAATATCTCTTTGATTGATTGAATGATTTAGTAATCGATATTGTAAATAAGCTCAGGAGAACAACAAAGCCATCAGAATGCCAGAATTAATGGATAATTAGTTTGACAAATCAAAGAAGCAAAATCATCAAATCAAATCAAGTTTATTAATATACAATTTATATTTTTTTAACAAGTTTTGACGAATGCCATACAATTGTATTGTCTTATGGAAAAAATCATATTTATTTATATTTTTAATTATTTATTTAGATATAAAAAACGCTAAACGCAAAACTAAAATGAAACATCTTCAAATGTTGGGGGTTGTTTTGCAGAATTACTTATGCCTTTTTTTTATAATGAATTCACAGGCTACCAAAGACGTGTCTAAGCGTTTTGTTATATCTACTATATTACTACCCAAAACCGTTATATCAACTTTCGATGGGCTACCCTATATGTTGTAAAATTGCATTTCTTTCAGTCACACCAGAAGTAATTTTACGTTTTCAGCTACTACTTCGTAATACGAATTTACATTTTCGAAAAGCAAATATCCAATTATTATTCAAATTGATTCTCTTTGTTTCAGATCCGTCTGCCAGAGCTGAAATACATGCTGAAAACCGCAATCATGTCAAAATCTCCTTATCCATGGTCAAGCAAAGCCACAAAGAGGCTAGCAGTTCTCGCATGCACAACTCTATGCCTACTTTTGTTCAGGCTCCAAATAATGGGCTCGCAACTGCCGGTTTTTACGAGATTTGACAACCCCGCATCAGTTGCTGCCACGCCTTCTCGCCAGTTGACGTATCATTATTTAATAAGCATCAATTTGTGGTTGCTGTTATTTCCGTGTGACCTGTGCTGCGATTGGACGATGGGAACGATAACATTGGTCGAATCGTTTCTGGACATCAGGAACTTGGGCACCGTTGCCACGTATGCCTTTTTGGCAGCGATCCTCGTCAAAGCGTTTACGACGGATAATAAGTTGCAGAGCACGATTTTGATAATGGTGAGTAGTACTATTTTTTATAGTAAAATTTCCGTGAAAGTTTTAAATGTTTCGTTAGAGGATTATGTTAAAAAATTAATAATAATTAATGTCGACTATTATTTTTTAAAAGTACTTAAATTAATTTGTATTCTATTAAAATCAATTTGTAATGTAGTTAAATCGGACCTTCGCAAAAAGCAAAAATGTTGTGAGGATTTTCTAATATAAAATTTATATGCGCGCCACTGGGAATACTTCGCGATGTTATGTGTCTCGAGAATGTTTAGAGAATCTCTGCTGATGTGGAAAACAAGATGTCTTCTGTAGAGAAGACAATAAAACAGATGGAAAAGAAGAACTGGAACATTCAGACTCGACCAAGGACGGTAAAATAAAGTGTCATGAGATGGAGTCGAAGGCTCCCATAAAGCAAAACAACGTTCGTAGCCCATTTGAGAAAATAGCCTTAGATATTGCTGGACCATTCCCCGTGACCGAGAATGGTAATAGATACATGATGGTGGTTATGGATTATTTCACGAAGTGGGTGAAAGTCTACACCATTCCAAATTAAAAGGCCGCAACTAATACAGATGTGTTGATAAAAGAGTTTATTTGTCGATTTGGAGTGCCCTTGGAGATCCACAGTGAGCAAGGCAGAAATTTTAAAAGCCAACTGTTCCGTAAAGTCTGTAACAGACTAGGCATGAAGAAAACCAGAACCACAGCATTGCACCCACAATCCGATGGAATGGTAGAACGAATAAATAAGACCAATGGCAAATATATGTCAAAAGTAGTTACAAACCATCAGCGAGATTGAGATCAGTATCTTTCGCTCTTTGCAATGGCTTTTAGATCCGCTGTCAATTAATCAACAGGCCAAACACTAGCAAAGATTCTGTTTGGGCGTGAGATGAGACTACCGTTCGACCTTGAGTTTGGATGCCGACCTGGAGAAGATGTAGCTGGTGAAGATTATATGTGATTCAGTTACGAATAAGAATGGACCATATGCATGAGTTAGTCCGATCGCATCCTCACATCGCCAGCGACAGAATGAAGAAGCGATACGATACCCAAGCCACAGAAGGATGTTTCAAGGAAGGCGACAAAGTCTGGCTGCATAACCCAAAAAGGCAAAAGGATTATTCTCCAAAGCTTCAAAGGTCTTGGGAAGGTCCGTACCTCATCAAGAAAAAAATCAATGATGTCATTTACCGTATAAGTAAGATCCCGAACGGTAAACCAAAGGTAGTGCACCAAAACCGGCTGGCGCCATTTAAGGATGACCATGAATAGAAAGAAAAAGTAAATCAGCTCCAAGAAACACCTGACCTTGTCTTTGAATAATTTATGGGTGCATATGGAGGTACCGGAAAAGCAAGACATGGTGTTTCAACCGAGCAACAATAAGGCCTGCTCACGGTTTCAAACGACTACTCGCTGGTCCATAGCATTTCCGCCAACATCTACGACGCTCGAGGTCTGGTATCTGTATTCCGAAAGAAGTTTCGTCAATTGCCAGAACTTCAATATGAGTTACCAGCCCCTGGAAAAGCATTAAAACTTCAAGATGGATCGCGTTGTCTTTTCTATTTGGTAACAAATAACACCTTCTGAGATAGATCCACTTATCATGATGTATGGGAAGCATTACTCAGTCTGAGGGAGCATGTACTGGAGTCTAGCATGTACAGAAACTAGCTATACCAAGGATAGATAGCAACCAGCTGAATTGGAGTATCATTAGAAATATGGTGGAAGTAATCTTTCAAGATACCCAGGTTGAAATATTGGCCTGCAGCCATTCTCTCAACGTTTAGGTTATAACGAAGACTGTCTCTTGTTACTTCCATGCAACTGGAAATTGTAAAAAAGGATCCAGTTGCAAATACAATCATTCAGTTTTAGGTCCAGGAGGAACTATTTCTTAAGGAGGGAGCAATGTCATGAAAATTCCTAAGCCGTCTCTGTCTAAGCGACCTTCAGCTTGTTACCCGACTCATGCTTAAAACAACGGAATCTTCTAGGAATGCCGCTGACGCTCGAGAAACGGGTAGAATGGGCGGAGTGTGCCGTTGAGTCAGAGATGAAATTTTCGGGAGCGTCTAGAGACTTCTCGTAGCAGAGATGGACTTGGTAAAAATAGTCGAGTTATCGGCGATCAGTTTAGTTTAGTATAGAGTATTGGAATGAAAAGTTAACGTGCAATAAATAAATTAGAATTGTTAGTTAGTGTCTAAGTATTATATAAAATAAATAATACGTCATAAATAAATTGTATTTTAAATAAATAAATTAGACTATCGTCACAATTGTGTATAAATTTGTGAAATAGACATAGAAACTACAAATGAGAGTTCTGAAATTGAAAATATAACTTAAAAAGAAAGCAAAGCAATGTAAGAAACTTAAGAACAGTATAAAAAGCTTTTATTGAAAAGTAGTCCATTATTTTTCGTTTAAAGTATTTAGAATTATTTATTCCTTTAAAAACTCGATAAAATTTATCGTGAAACTCCATTTTTAAAAGATATGTATTTTTAAAATATATCTTGTTTGCGACTACCTATCTGTCGCAACCTGACCGCCCAGTGCACGCATACCCTAAGATTTTTTTTTATATATTTGTTTCAAAAAGTTTTTTTTTGTTACCTTAATATACAGTTATAGTAAAGTATAAACTTTAGACTCACCCTATATTAGCAGACGCTCTCTCTTATTTGGCAAACCTGTAAAATAAAAAAAAAAAATATATTGTTTAAAGTGTGTTCATCTTTTTTTTAAATATTCTAGATATATCTATTTTCTTTTAAACTAGTTAATATAATTTTCCTACGACCACTTAGGAAAGTGACACATATCACACTATATAGACCTATGGAAAGTGCCCTATATCACACGCGTATGAATAAGAATTTACTTTCCACCCAAGTGAGAATATGCTACTTTCCGCAGTAGCTGTCAGAAAATGTCAAACACATAATTTCTATTTTGATCTATGTAATGTCCATATTAATACTAAAATCGATATGATTGTTAAATTATTGTAAATTAGATCCTAGATATTTATCTTTAACAATTATTTTTAAAATAATTTTAAAATAACTAAGATATATTTGCTTTTTATTCTGGTTAAACACATAAGCGATTAGATCAATCAATTACCGTAAGGCCTGTTAGCTCAGTTGGTTAGAGCATCAACTTTGCAATTTGAGACCGTCCAACGACCGCGATCGAATCCTGGCTGTGCCAGAATTTTTTTTTTATTTTTTTTATTTGTTTAGAAATTATGAAAATTTAATAAATACGATTATTGTTGATTATTTTTTGAGTTAAGTCAGAAAAATTGTTTATTAAAAACGAAACTTTTATTTCTCAATATCAGCTAGATGAAAAAGAAAAATTAAAAAGATGGAAATGCCGGCAGCGAACTAGTTTTTTTTTGTCTCAATTTGTCCCTGCAGTTGCGATTATACAAATTATATGATTAAATTTTAATTAATTTAAATTTTAAATTGAAATTTCTTATCTTAAAACTTGCAGCGTTTGCAAATTACAATTAGGTTATCATAACTCCCTTGGAGGAGAATCCGGGAGCTGGCCAGTGAATTTTCTGCTTTGGAGATCTTCTTCATGTATTTTCTTTAATTTCAATAAATTAACATAATACTAAAATTTATATAATTCAAATACTGATATTGCTAAATTTACAAATTTGGAATATCTTGAAAGTCTTTTAGAATAACTAATTAGTTCAAATCAATTAAATAGCTTTATTGAAGAGAAAAAAAGGGGATTTTTATAGATAACGAACCCAAACAAGGAACACAATATATTTTACACGTGAACACTACCTCAAGCAGAATGTACTACAATTGTATATTGTACTAGACTGGCAACACTGGTTTGTCAACCTTGTTTGTGAGCGGCGCGCCAATTAATGTGTTCCTTTGACGTTTGAAGGATATGTTGGCGTGTTATTTTCTCTTTTTAACTTTATGCATTCACCAAATCGTCTCACTCTTGTTAGGCTCACTCATCATAATGCGCCACAGACACAGTATACTTAGGTATTCTGTGCCACAGAGACGCGATCAGCCAGAGGGCAATGATGTACCAAAAAATATAGATTAACACGTATGAAAATGAAAATATTAAAATTAAATTTATATTTTTATGTTATTTATGTAATTATAAAATAATGTGTTTTTATGAAATTTAATTGGGTGTTCACTGCACAAACCGCCCCTAGTTGGAAGTGATAGTCCTCTCATTATTCTCACATGTCTTGATTGGAAATCTTTTGCCCCATCTTCAGTACTGATGGTGAAGCTCACTGTCCTCAAGTCACGTTGTTCTTTGGTCTGATTGCTTGTCCACTGGATACAGAGTTGTTGTTGAGGTCCATCTAGCTCTAGAACACCAGCAAGGTATTGATCAATAAGAGAAACAGTTAAAGCGTCGTCTAAAAGTACAGTAGTATTGATATTTTTATGGTTATAGCGTAAAGATACCGGAAGAATTTTTAAGAGAACACGAGTCTCATTGAAAATGTGACAATTTATTTGAGCTTTAGTCTCATTGATTATTTTGGAAGTGAATGGAAAAACTTCGACTCGATTATCGTTCACATCATCCTTATGTAGAAGGTTATGATGATATCTCTTACAATGTCTTTTTACGGCGACAGTCAGTCAAGCTATGATAAGGAATCAAACAAGAACAGCATATTTTATTTGTAGTCAGTAAACCCCATCTTTGATCAACTGCAAGATCTTTAAAGGATAAGCTGGTACTTAAATTGTGCAATTGTTTATTGCAACACATACATTTCTTTTTTGAAATCGTTGTCATGGTTACGGCCCTTTTGAAAGAGGTTCTTTTAAATTGTCAGTAGAAATGTCAGAATAAAATTTTGGCGGTTTAATCTGGCATGCCGTCATGGCTTTTCTGTCGAGCCAGTGTGAAAATTCTATTAATTTAAAATTTGGAGAAATATATTCGGAAATATA